AAAAGTAAAAGTCCTCACGTTTATCATAAAGCTTGGTTGTTAGATTACCTTTAAATATAACATCGATGTGTCAGACTCTTATCTTTTATTTCAAGCTCACCGGGATATATCGTATCGACATAAGAATGGAAATAACCATTGTTAATTGACAATAAGTTGTCGATATGAAGCAGAGTTTTTTTCAAAAACTCATACATGAGAAGATCAAACTTTTTATTGAAATTTAGATATATCGAGGAAGTATTATCAGATAATTATAGTTATTTCCATTTATATGTCAACTCGATATATCCAAGTGAACTTGAAATAAAAGAAACAACAGAGTCTGACACATTTTTTTCATATCTGGGTATTTTAAATGGGTTTATGGTAACCTAGCGACAAAGCTTTATGACAAATGTGACAACCTTTCCATTGTCAACTTCCCTTATTTATGTAGCAATACATCTTTATTTATCAGCTGCCTATGGGATTTATATCTCCCAGTTAATTCAATATGCACGAACATGTTCTAAATTTCTAAAACGAGGCAAGCTATTGACAAACAAGTTGATGAAAAAAGGATATCAACAGTTTAGTTTGAATTCATGATTTCTCAAATTCTTTGGTTAATACAATGACCTTGTCAGCATATAAAATCCGTCATTAAAGCGAATGATGAAAGACGTTTTTCATACTAATTGTTTGGTCATTATTACACACTGAATTGTCTACGGATTTTTCCGTGTGTCCGATCATGACAAAGACCACACAACGGGTGTGACAGGTCGACAGGGGATGGTAAATCCTCCAAATCACTTCTTCCCACCTTTTTTTTTTGGAGGACAGTGTTTGCTCTGCTCCAATTTTTATTTTTCTATGGATTTTTTTTTTTGAGATTGATTACTGTTCGTTATCTTCATATTTCATTTCATACATATACATATGTAGATTTGCATACTCTCTTTTTTCTGCCTCTGTGAACCTGCAATCAACGGTTGTATTCATATAGCTTTGAATGCAGTGTCTTTCTCTATGTTTCTACACTCACAAAGATCAAACTTCTCAAATAGTAGCTGATCCATGTGTTTTAAAGTTTATAACTAATTTTGATCAATGTATTTAATTAAATAATAAAACTTTTTCCGAATTAAACGGAGCTGAAAAATCTTAATTTATCTGTACATTTTTGGGCATTAGTTACAAAAAACGATAACATTTCAAGTCTGGGTGTTTTGAGTTCAACGCAAAATTTTCGTATCTATTTCAAGATCGATTTTAGCTCTTAAAATGGATTTTAGAAAACATTTTTATGTTTAAAAAAAGATAAAAGCATTCTCTTTCAAAAAATAATCTTATTTTTCTCACAGAGTTTCAATACTATGAATGATGACGTCACAAATGTGTCAAAACAAAATAATATATACGAGAATGTTGAAGACGATGCGGTTTGTACATTATAGCCAGATAACGGGGGTTAAGAAGCAAATATTATGTAAGCTGTATGTTTTTTATTTGAAATAAGGTGATTTGATCAAGTGTGCTGATTATTGGGATTCAGTTTTTTCCCAGTGAAGACAAGCAGCCGTGCTTTTATCCAGATCAGGATTTCCTCTGACATTCCTGACATCACAGAATACAAATACAATGTATAAGTAATAAACAAAGTTGTTTCAGGGAACGGGCGTCATGGGATATGTCTGCTGTTCTAATGTTATTCATAACACCATGTTCACTGAAAAAGTTGTTCTTTTCTTAAATAATGATACCAGAAGACAAACTACATTATATCATAACTACGAAAAGAACATCTTTTTAACTACTCTGCTTAACAAGAAATTCCCATTATGTGACATCCTTTAAAAACAGATACGGCATCGATAAAATATTTACTTCCTTAAGTCTTGTGATTGCTATCTTAACCCGCCTAGCTGACCTTGAAACACAAGACAGGTTTATCATTATTTATCATCAATGACAAACTTATTTCTTAGCCTTCTTTTCACCCAAAACTTTAAATATGCCAGGCCTTATAAGCCTGCCTTACTTTTTATTTTTAATCCAGGAACTAAGAGCATAATGTTTACCAAGCTAAGCCACATTATGATTTGATTGAAAATGAACCTGAAATAACAACCCCTTCAAGCCTTAGTCCTGCTTACAAAGTTATGTACATAATTTCAACAAATGTAACCTGCATTATACAGAAGGCGAGAGGATCGTCCTCAGGATTCTAGAATTAAAAGAAAATCAAAATTGTAGCAAATTTCACGTCACTTTAAAAGTTGTTTAAAGAAAGATGTTGACACGTCTAGACAATTTATATTCTGGTTTAAAAACTACTACACCTATATATACAAAAACTCAACGATGATATTATTTGTTGGTGCGTAAAATGATTTTTTTTTAAAGTTACATCTTTTAAAGATAACTTTCCTCTATTCTACAAATAGACCAAAAAAAAAAAAAAAAAAAAAAAAAAAAAAAAAAAAAAAAAACAATCTTAATTATTAATTGCTTATTCTGATCTCTTTAATATCCTTTATATTGATAACTCTTTCTGATCCTCTTAATCTTTTATTTATTGATAACTCATTCTGATCTCCTTTATATCCTATCTTTTGGTATCTCATTCTATAACATCCTTTCTTTTGGACAACTCATTGTGATCTCTTTAATTCTTTTATAGTCATTCTGATCTTCTTAAAATCCCTTCAATTGATATCTCATTCTGTTCTCCTTAATGTTTTTTGTATTGAAGCTAAATCTGATTTTCTGAATATCCTTTCTCTTGTTAACTCATTCGGATCTCCTTAACATCCTTTTTTATTGACAACTTATTCTGTTCTCCTTAAAGTTGAACATGATTCATCAAAGGAATTTGTCTGCCATATTAGTCGTATCCTCTCGTTATATCAGAGACCCATTTATAAGCCGTTCACTTAGTCACGGTTCATTGTAATCGGTGTTCACCTGTGTAGACTGACGTATTCTACAAAGCTATTGAAATGTAAGATAACTAACACGAACACGTATCGTCCGTTCCACGCAGGTACCCACGATAATAAAGTAGTCAGGTGTAACGTATGCGAAGGTGTGTACCCCAGTGCTGATATTGGAGATTGGAAAACTAATACGGCGAATGCCTATTTACGAGTCCCGTTCAGCTTTATTGTCTTTTGTTTTGAAGCTAATTCTGATATTCTTAATATCCTTTATATTAACTAATCATATTGATCTCCTTAACATCCTTAACATATATTATAGTGAGAATCATTCTAATCTCCTTAGTGATTTTCATATTGATAACTACTTATAATCTTAATATCCTTTCTATTGATAGTTCATTCTGATCTCCTTAATGTCTTTTATATTGATTACTCATTCCGTTCTCCTTAATTTTCTTTTTTATTCATAACTCATTGTGAACTCTTCAATTTCCTTTATATTGATAACTTTTCTAAACTCTTTTATTTCTTTTATATTAATAATTCATACTGATCTCCTTAACATGCTTTTGAATTGATAACTCATTCTGATCTCTTTAATATCCTTTATATTGATAACTCATTCTCCTCAATCTCGCCACGACTTGATGAAACCTTTATCCAACCAATGAAGAACTACAATATTGTTTGGGATTTAAAAAAGGTATATAAAATTTGGAGATAACAAACAGTATCCAAGCTTAAAGTCCATGAAAACAATACAGATTGGAAGCAGAGCAAACACAGACCTCTGGAAACATCAAAGGTGGGATCAGGTGCCAAGGAGGAATGAGCATCCCTTGCTGACCGGTCACACCCGCCGTGTGCTCCTTGTCATGATCGGGAAATAACGCAAAAATCCGTCGACAATTCAGTGTGTAAATAATGGCCTAACAATTAGTATGAAAAAGTCAGTCAGCATTTGACTTAATGATAGATTGTATTTGCTGACAAGGTTATTGTATCGACTATATATTATAGAGTAGATAGTAAAAAACAGAAACAAAACACACTTAGTATGGCAGAAAATATAAATTTACCAGAGTGAGATTACATTATATAACATTTCCTAAAATCATAATAAAATGATAGAAAACAATCAAAACAAACGTAACTAAATAATCGGAGAAATAACATTCTGTATATGTGATTTTTTTAGACAGCAGAACATGTTAAGGGCTAGAAATTTTTCATATTATAAATCAAGAATGTAATCCATCCCATATAATAATGATTATTTGAAACATATTATCATTAAAATCGATCGTTTGAGAAAGATAAAAGGTTCTTATTTAAAAAGTAACATCATTAAATACTTTTACACACTGTATAGCAAGTTACCTGTAAGTATATGTAATGACAATGAATTTGGCATCGGAGATAAAAATATGATCTTAAATCAAGATCACAAATTATCTAATCAAGAACTGCTTTTGTGGCAAGTGCTTAGACAATATTTTTAGGGGGCAGGGGTGATATTTGCTGTAAGACCATAATTCATTAACTTATACATGAGCATAATTATATTGCCGATGTATCAAGTCATTCTGGTTAGTAGCTTCCAAGATAAATTTGACGTAGTCATGTTCAATTTATGCATTTAAGTATTGGAAGATTGACAAAAAAATAAATTATAAGTAAATCATAAGGAAAAAAAAGTTGTTTTTCTTTTAAACCAAGAATGCGCGAACATACATGTTTAGGAACAAAATACACGGAATGACAAACAAAGGAATTTCTATCAAATGATGCCTTTTAAAACGTGGATTAAAGTGAGTTTTATGTGACTCAGCATTATTTGTGATGTGTAATGTTTTAAAATTTTATCTTTTGAACACTGAGATTCAAACTGATATCCCAGTATTTCTTCGAAAACAAATTCTGTATTTTTCTGTCGCGATTATATCAATAATCCAGACGAAAAAATCAAGTGAGCTCTTCCTTCCAGTGCAGTATATTATTATTGGAGAAATAAATTTTGAGGAAGAAAGGAAAATATTATCTATTAATATTATTTTGAAACTTTCATTCTACATGGCGGACATGAAGTAAGTAAGAATTTATCATAGTTAAAGCAAAGTCAACTTCTTCAACATTAATGTTTTCTTTTTAAGCTACATGTATAAAATCCCCCCTCCCCCCCACACTTTCAAGGGGCTGAGTAAAAAGTTTTTATCATTTGATATTAATATCAATAATAACGGTTATATTTTATCATTCCAACCTGAGAAAGTTTGTAAATTGTCCTCGTGAAAGGGAGATACTGGCTTCTACTTTCGTTCCCGGTGACTCGTCAAACCTAAGATGTTAACATAAGTAGTGACTGTTACTTCGCATTAGTAGTGGAAGTCACTGTCATTAAAAATGGAGGTCCTGTGTGACGTTTTCCGTTGGCTGTTGGCAAGATAAAAAACCCTAACTACCCTAATTGCTCACTAAAAAAAAAAAAAAAAAAAAAAGAAAAAAAAAAAAGAAAAACCAGCAAAAAAGAAAAACTGATTATGGGTAGTATTCTTCATCTGTAAAATATTGTGGAGATCGATTATACATGCATCACAAATTCAACGTTTTTAACATTTATTGAGAATTAAAAAATATATAGGCAAAAAACATATATATGGATACCCCAGAAAAACTATATTCTTTATTTTAAGGGTCTTTTCCCTTTATGTTCACATGCGATTTCATTCCTCAAAATATATATCAATGAATATATATCCCTTTTTCCATTATTAAAAGGTAGGACTGCCTTTTCAATAAGAAAAAAAAGTTGTTCCTTAAAATGTATAAATTATTGTATCTTTTTATCAAAGAAAGTTTGGGAGGAATAAGTATAATTGAAATTGAGTATAGAACTCTTGTGCATGTATAGAAAAGTTCATTGTGTAACATGTAACATATCTCTCTTTAAACAAAATATGTTATATGAAAAATCCTGGTATAACGATAATGAACAGTAATCACTCCCAGTCAGTCCACTAACCTCTAAAAACATCAGAGATTGGATCAGTTGCCATGGAGGAGTAAGCATCCCCTGTCCACGGGTCACACCCGCCGTGTGCTCCTTGTCATGATCGGAAAATAACGTAAAATTCCGTAGACAGTTCAGTGTGTAAATAATGGCCTAACAATTAATATGAAGAACGTCGGTGAGCATTCGATTTACTGATAGATGTATTTGCTGACAATGTCATTGTATTGACCCTGTATTCAAGTGAAAAGGGTATATTGCTACATAAGTAAGAGAAGTTGACGATAGAAAAGTTGAATTCATCCCGTTTATCATAGTTTGATTGTTAGGTTACCATTAAAGTCTTTTTCTAGTAAAATATCCACTGGGATATATCGAGTCGAAATGTAAATGGAAGTAACTATTTATTTTTAATTGATAATACGTTGTTGATATATCTAAATGTCGAGTTGAAGGTCCATGGGAATTCCGAAAGATTGTTGGAAGACTTGATCCTCAAACATTACATAGATATTTTCAATCAGAAAATCAAGCATCTTTTCAATATCTTCTTCAGAGTACTTAAAGAAATCTGATTAAATATTTAGTAATGTATTATTTATATAGTTGAGTTAATAAATAGTATTAAAAGGTTATAGGAGCTGACACGACGGATTAATTGTTTGCATTAATCCGTTGTGTCAGTTTTACTTTATTACTTTATCTAGATATAAAGGGTGGAATCATTCATGATCAGCCACAGCCGAATACAGGTTATAATTATGAAAAACAATAAACATTTATCTATCACACACACACTGTTAACTAAAAACTGCTTGCATTACATTTTCGATTATTTTCCCTTATGATTTGCCAAAAAAAAAAAAAAAAAAATTGACGCAGTAAATATTAATAATTTTTCAATTAAAAAAAGGTCCAGTCTCGTACTCCACCATATGTAAAGCTGAAGTCCACACCTTGTATTTCTTACAAATAAACATCAACTATTGCTTCCAAACTTTTTAATTACGAAGAAAAACTCTAGAGTGTCTAGATATCGATCATCTGAAACATAATCCTCCATCATTTCATGTTCTTCTTCACACTACAACAATAGTCCTGGTGAACGCTTAATTACTGCTTGATTACTACTGAATATAATCGGTCATGCGAACCTTCAATCACTTATTTTAAAAGGACCAAAATTTAGAAAAATCCCCAATCTTTCAACTGACATCATAATTTCATAAATATTATGAATTTTATGAAAGATTATGCCAGACGATGAATCAAACATGAAAAAGAAGACTTTGATACTTTGTCAGAATAGATTTAAAGTATCAGATTGATGTCTCGCATAAAAAGGCTGAGAGGCAATACGAAAACAATCTATCTTTCTGTCTTCGATAATTCAGAAGTGAAAATTATTAGATAGATTACACGATCAATATGAACTGGTCCCAGCAAGGCTCATTATTTTAATTGTATTTTAGAAGAACTTGGATTTAATTCTGCAAGTGGTAATCTAACTTATACTCATAGTTCCCTCTCTAAGGAGGAAATTCTTCAAAATCATATATCAGTTTTTAAATGCTCTGCCCAGTTGAATTCATTAGCGCCACATTTTAAAAAACACAGTACCATTACTGCAAAAGAAAAAAAAAATAGTGCATCAGGAAGATCATCGTTGATCAGAAAGATAATGTATAAAATTTTATATCTCCAAATAAACCTTCGATCAAATCCTATACTATTTTTCAGTTTCTAATGCTTAACCGTTAAATTACTCTAATTATGGCCTATATGGCCTGACCCGTTGGACTTTACGCATGAATGAGAAGAGACAAACAATTCTTTTCACTCTTCCCAGTATTTGCAAATGAAATTCTTAATAACTAATTGATCAAGAAGCTTTACTAAAGATAACCACGTTTCAAAAATTGCATTGGCACTGTGGGTAAAACATCGGACGTATATTGTAATCATGATAGATCACATCCTATTGACTAACAAGCTCAAAGAAAAATCTCTATCTAACTGTGTCCATGAAACCTGCAATAAAATAATGTAATACACCACACACACACACACACACACACACACACACACACACACACAACTAAAAATATTTTGAATAACTTATTATATATTAGCTATATACATGCCACTAATGTTAAATGTATTAACTTTTAGGAATGGTATTTCGGAGGAAATGGAGAGGGACGAGTGGAGAAAGCGAATAAAGTCTTTCGTGACAAAAGTCTACTCGAAGTCGCTCCCAAATATGATCTTTTCCGTCATTGGGGACTCTGACAACTTGATTCCAAAGCCCTGGCCAAGATCACGCCTTCAGCAGTCTTTGACCTATGCAGCAAAGGCCGCAGGGAGTTTGTATATACATTCCTTTCAAAGATTCTATTATTTTCAGGTTATTAACTGAATATCGGACGTGGTCTTTTTGCGATAGAGCGGACCGTCAGAGCCACATCAGACTGATAACCTTTTTATTACATACATTGTGATACATTTTCCTCTACCCATATTAAGTATTTTCCACAGTAATCCTAGTCAGAAATATCCCTTATACATTAGTAACAGATATTTGTTACGTCAGTTGTATTTGATGTCACTAAGAATGTAGAGACGGGAAAATATAGTGTGACATCACAATTGTTATTGTAGAAGTAGTCACTAGACATTACAGAGCATGATACGGCTTTGTAAAAGCCATCCAAACTATTTTTGTACATGCATTATTTTCTCTTTAGTAAATATTACACATTTCAATATATATATTAAATAGCATACGTACATATGAAAGTTAAAATAACATAATCAAAAGATAAGAATCTATATATTCATAAATAATAACTTCAGATGTAATGTGGAAACAAAGAACAGCAATCAAACTAAAAAGTCCAATGAAACAATACAAATCGGGAAATTTTTTTGAATTTTTTTTTTAAATCAAATAATTAGATAATACATTCCTATCATTTATCTCAGTCCTAGTCTTATTTCAATGAATTCAATTTTATATATATATATATATATATATATATATATATATATATATATATATATATATATATATATATATATATATATATATATATATATATATATATATATATATATATATATATATATATATATATATATATTAGGGATGTCAAATCGGTCAATTTTTGATAATCGGTTACTCGGACGTTTTTCCGATCGAGTACCCGGGTACTCGGTAAAAATGAAAATACAAGACAGTGTGATAATTTTCTTGAGCCCGGTAAAGCTCTGTTAAATCCCAAAGCTGTTTTATCACGCTTATAAATGTATATAAACAACTGAGTCAAAGGGAAATGATTTTTGGTACCAAATTTATTTATCAAATAAACTCAAAAGACACAATTAATGCATAAAAAAATAAAAATGGTTTACAGTTCTTGTTTAGGACCTATATCATCAACGCAAAAGGACAATCTGTTAGGCAGTTTTGTGATGTTAGACAAACGAAAGAGAAGGAAAAGACGTTCTTGGGATCGCTAATCTAACTATTTCATAATTTGGTTGTTTCCCATGAAACCTACTACGCAAACTGACTTTCAATTTTTTTTAAATCTTTAGTTATTTCTAAATATTTCTTCACTTTTGAAGAGGGTAGCTGTATTTCTATGCATGTCCGATTTCGCTACCGTATATTAATTAAATAATTTAAAAACGATTTGACTATAATAAACCATACTTAAACGATGTTTTCTGAAAACAATCATTGAAGCCATCCAAAAATTAGGGACCACAATAGGAGAGAACTGCTGTGTACCAGATGATTGGTCATTAATTACTGTATATACACAGCCACAGGCGATAACAGATGTTTTACAGGTGTAGATGACGACACGCTAATTACCGTATGAATATTTAAGTAATTTTTTGATAAGTTTTTGATAAAAATATGTACTTTGAAATAAGAAAAAAATATACTTCCGAGTAACCGAATACCATTTTTAGTATTCGATACTCGGACGTTCGATCGAGTACCCGGTTAACCGGGTACTCGTTGACATCCCTATATATATATATATATATATATATATATATATATATATATATATATATATATATATATATATATATATATATATATATATATATATATATATATATAACTATTGATCACGGAAAATTAAGGTATAAAAATCACAATGAAGTACTGGTAATAAGGCTAGAGTACAGTTTGCAATAAAAATGTACCATATACTTTTTATACTTTTTTCTTTGGACTATTTCCTATGGAAATACTTTAAAATCCTAAATATATTTTTGATGCTTTGCATTAGTTTACCTTGTCTTCACAATGACATCCACAGATTGCTTGATACTGAGTAAAGGAGAGTCCCTTAAAGTCTCCAGAATAGTCCGTGAGATGATGGAAGAATATATCTACCTAGAAAAACCTGCAAAATCTAATCTCAGACTGATATCCGTCCCTTCTAAGCATATGGAGGACAATAGTCTGTACTTTGATTTACCAGAGGTCGCAGAGGTCGAGGAGAAACAGAGTAAAGAGGATCAGAACAATGAGGAAAAGAACCAAGATGAGGAGGAAGAGGTATTGTCTGACAGTTATATTCATATGAATCTAATCTGAATTTTGTTTTAAGTAAAAGGAGGGTATATAAAACACAGTTTAAAACAGTGTAGAATAATTCTTGGACTAGTTCAAAAGTGATCTTCTGATATAATTAAAAAGAAAGTTTATGAAAAACATAGTAATAACTTGTTTTCCTGTGGTAGCACGCATCCCTTCACAAGCACATGAATTTGAAAAATGTATAAAATAAAATTTAATCAAATATGAATAATGAAAAATAATTTTTAAAAAAGTCTGATGTGATGTAAAATTATTTATTTTTCTTTTAGAAATACATGCTTGGTATATCCTTATCAAATGGTATGCTAAATGTACTACATGTATATATGTTTGACTAAGTTACAGTATTTTGTCTAAGTGTTACCTTATTTTGTCTACATAAGAGTACTCTGTCTCAGTTACAGTATTTTGTCTTAATAACAGTAGTTTGTCTAAGATACAGTATTTTGTCTAAGTTAGATGATGGTTTTTCTAGAGATTTGAGGTTGACGGTTTCTTTTACAAACTCATTGCCGACTCTGCGGATGAAGATTATATTGAGTTTAGGTTTGAGCTAGAGAGGACTTTGGAGATGCCGGAAGATGAAGGTAAAAATAATCCTAAACAAATGTTTATTCCTTCAATTATCTAATATATTGCCAATATGAGATTTTTGCAGAATTTATTCATTATCTATCCATAAAAAAATCAAGATTAGATTTCTAGACGAAAGGCGACATTCAATTTCATTCAATTCATGCATGTCCTTGAATATTCAAATTAGGTTAAAACCAAATTTACGAGGTCGATAATTCTTTTACGCTTAACAGTTTATCGAGTGGATATCATGCATTCGAGGTATTGGTCATCTCTTACACATTTATTTCTATCCTTTGATGTCATAGGAGCAAGTATACTTATTACATTAATAAAATCGTTGACATAGGAAAAAATGTATTCTTGTCTTTTTAAAATTTGAACTATACGCACTATTTTACAGCGAAATATTGTTGACGTACTTCATTAAATATATATGCATTTAGAATTTAGACATGTTTTGCCTCTTCTTTGCCTTTCAGGCTCAAAGATATATTGTTTTCCTCAGATAAATAAGTGATCGTGTTGAAGTCATGATTTTATACTCTTGATATGCTGGTTTCAGAAAGGGTGGCCTTAGCCATTATTCTAGTGGAGGGAGATTTGTCGACTGTGGATCATGTAAAATTAGCCACTGAGAGTGGAATACCAGTCGTGTTAGTCAAAGGAACAGGCGGGTTGGCAGATCTCCTGTCGATTTCTATGTAATTTTCCTTTAAAAATATATAGATATTATTGTAATGAGACCAAACTTAGAAAGGTTTTATCCATGATTCTCAATTGAACTGCGCTAAAGTTGGAATGCAACACCAAAATCGTATTTAATGGATCTTTTGAAACACGGTTTCAGCATGAAAAGATTGATATTAGCTCTTGATTATTTTATAAGATTTTTTTTTTTTTGTATTTTTTTTTTCAAAGAAAATGTAAAAATTGATTTATTTGCAAATAAGATTCTCTAGAGTTTAAAATGTGCTCTTAATAAATGCAAAATATAAATATCTTATGAAACATGTCAAGAAAAGTCGGGGAGGCTTTTTAATTTTTTTTATTAGAAAATAATTTATGATTATAAAAATTATAATTTGGTAATAATTTTAAACTAGTGGAAAAAACTCCAAGAAACAAGTTGCCTATAGAAAAGAAAATATGATGCAATTATATTTCATAGAGAAATTGAATTGAAATTGCGAAATTGAAAAAAATGCTAATTTTTTTAACCAATCCCGATCAAAATTAAATCAATCCCAACCAGAATTATATGAACTGAAAAAATATAACAATTTCACAAGAATACTAGGTTCCTTTGGTGTAATATGGTTAGCAAAATAATTGAAATTATACACATTTCTCAGTAAAACTATTAGAGATAGGCAGTAAATTAGTAATAATGAATTTTTGTATTGATTTTGACCGGGATCAGTTAAATTTTGAGCGGGATTGGTTCAAGTTTGAAAATTAGCAATTCTTTTAAAGTTTCATATTTCACTTCAATTTCTTTTTAAAATATGATTAAGTATCGTATCTTTCTCCTTTGTGACTTGTTTCTTAAAGATTTTAACCATAGGTTTAAAAAAGAATCAACAAATAATGTGTTTTATTCTAATAAATAATATGTTATTAAAAAAATTACATTGCCTATCTGACTCTTCTTGACATGTTTTATTAGTTATTTACATTGTGTACTTATTAACAGAAAATTTTAAACTCTAAAGAATCTTATATTATTTGCAAATAGCATGAATTTTACATTTTCTTTGAAAAAATACCAGAAAAAAAATCATATAAAATAATTAAGAGCTAATATCAATCTTTCGATGCAAAACAAAAGGCCCTACCTTCGATTCGTACTTGATAGTTCCATATAAAGTACAAGTCCATAATCGAATACCATTTATTGTTGGCAGCTTGGTTTATTGACAGATGATATTTATATTCCATTAAGTTTTAATTGAGAACTTAAAGATCGATCTGAGATAGTGTGACATAGACGTCAATAGGGGGACGATTGATCTGAAACTTTCCTCCACACTTTAGATCCGCACCTTGTCCCTCCTCTCCATGACTTTGTTGACCGGGTCTCTAACAGGTGCCTGTCGGTACAATAATAAATGAGATGCCTTAGAGATCCATTAAGGTATGTCACTCATAAAATTAGTTATATCAAGGATTTTTTGAGAAGTATAACTTAGATAAGTACTCATATAGCATGACTCAAAATCGCAAATAAAATGGGGGGCCAGTGTGCATTTTACTGAGCTACGGCACAATTAAGTTGACCTTTTTGCACTTATATTGTAACTATTTGGTTAGTCACTTTAATCTTTATCTTATTTTAACAGATGTATTTTACGTATAATAGTTTGAATAATATTTATCATTGAAAGAATCGTGCAAATTAATGCACATAATTATAAATTATTGTGTGACCTTTTTGTACTAAAAAAGTCTCATATTTGGAGTATAAAACATGTAAACAGGCAATAAAATATTTTCTTGTATCAAGCTTTTTATGATTTAAGTGCTGATTTGTTGGAAGTATCGTGTTGTTTAAAATCAAGAAAGAAAAAGTTTGGTTCAGCGATGTAAATTTTGAGATATTGGTCAAACTGCGATTTTCAGGTAAAAAACGGTGTAAATTCTATCTTGATTTCTTTAATATATCTTCTTTTCTTTGCAAAGTCTGTTGAGTGAATGTGTAAAATTTGTTCTAAAAATATACATTGAAAGCTATATTTAACATTCATAGCATAACGGAAAATATTCTCTGAGTAAAGAATATGTGGGGCTAAAGTTCCAAAATATTAAATAAAACAAATTTGTAGATGTGAAGAATTTTCTGCTAAATATGCTTCCACCACAAAAAATAGTCCCTCATAAATCTTGCTTCTTTATTAATTTGTGACCGGTTTTTTAATGGAATGTTGAATAATTTGCATTGTTAAATTTAAATATGTTGCAAAAATTAAAGTGTAATAAATAGTTTTGAAGTTAAAGGTTTTGACTGAACTTTTCGGAAAAAGCTGACCAGTGACATACCTTAAATAAAATTTTGGTGAAGCATTCCACCTTAGCATATGGATACATACATACGACTTACTTAATAATGTACATCTGTGTATGTGCAAATCATTGTGCTTTTTATATGAGTCATGCAAATTTTAAAAAAAATGTTATTTTAAAAATTAAGATTTTAAATAGCTAGCAAATAGTTTCGGTAAACAATACGAGGGTTTCATAATTTTTTTAAGCATGATAACTGTATTTGTCAATTACTAATTGTTTAAAAGAAATAACCAACATTTAAAAACCATTTCAAACCTACAAAAATTTGTCAAAGGTGGTGTAACTATATCACGGTAATTTCATTAATACTTTCGTTCTGTCAGCTTAATAAACCATCTTAAGTCATGTGCCATGTATTTACTAATAATATATTGAGTAATGCGAAATATGTTTTAAATTTTGGATGCAAAATTCTACTCATCTATTTACTGATTTACCAGAAATTATCTTTTTAGGGATCTGTTAAATGACGGAAAGGATATGGAATTAAGAACACTGCTTCCAACTTTATTTGGGATTGATCTGGATGACACTGATCATGAGATTGAAGAACTGGAAAAAACTTTGAGAACTATTTTTGAAAGCTCTTACTTAGTATGACTTTAATTACTTTTTCATATTGTTCTCCCCCTCTAATAATAAATATCTTAACATGTAACCGTAACGTATCTTTGAAATAAATGTACATTAAATCCAACAGACACAAAAGAAGATTCTGTTGTGCTGCATTGACTTGTGCGTTGCTAAGTTGCGAGTTCCTTATAAAGGACTAAAACAACGTACATGTATTTGGTCTCGGAACTGGTTTTTCTATCCGTTATGTTTGAAAATCTTCCTCTTGTTACAAAAAAGTTTCTTTTTTTCATTGAGCATTAAGGAATACAATACTTATTTTAGATAGATTCCTTCGACCTTCTTGAAAAAAATGAGGAACAATTCGCGGCTGTTGTGGGTGAACTGGTGCAGAAGTCCTGGTTATTAGAAACAGGTCCCAGTAAGAAGCAAAGTAACAAAAATAGCAGTAAGACAAAACACGTACAAAAAATCATGTGATATTGTCAATTTTGATTATTTTTAGTTTTTAAACATTTTTAAAGCATTGAATGTGTTTTAGCTCACCTGAGCCAAAGGCTTAGGTGAGCTGATAAGATTTTGCCTGGCGTCCATCTGTCTGTCTGTGTGTCTATTTGTCTGCATGTCTGGAAACTTTTAACATTTTCGACTTCATCTCAAGACACACCGGGCCAATTTCATCCAAATTTGCCAAAAATCTTATAAGATCTTCTCATGAAAAGCAAAGTCATGATTAGTCATATTTGTATGGAAGCATCCTCGGGTAGTGTTATTCAAGTTTGTTCAAATCATGATCCCCGGGGGTCACAGAAATCAATATATAATTATGTACTGTTGTACTATTTCATTTTCAATAATAGTGTTGTATTACTCAATTGAGTTTGATAAATATTAGTGGTGTCATTTCTAAAAAGGACAAGTAAAGAATATAAAGAACAAAGCACGAAATCGTAAGAGCTCTTATGCAATGGAACAAAATTGGAAAAGGGTGAAGAAACCGTGGCGCATGGCAGAAGAACTCGAAACCCTCAACTTCCCAACCTTCTCTTCCCCATTTTCACTTCCACTGGACCTCTTCTTCCGTTATTCTAAGTTTATTCAACTTCAGAAGGGAAATTCCTCCTCGAAGCAAGAGGAGCAAGTTGCAAAAGAAGCACAGGTAACAGCATCCAGCATCAAAGACATATACTTTTGCGTTGTGATTATGATAAGTTTTGCATGATTTCCTCTTTTTAATGCTTTTTATAGCCAACTGTCTGGTACATATTTTTGACCTTTGAATATATCAAGCATAAAAATACCATGTCCTAAAATGTATTGGTTTATCTTATAAAGATATATCAAGGATTTTTAAGAAGATTATATCAGATAACTACTTATATAGTATGACTCAAAATCGCAAAGAAATTGAGGATCAGTGTGCATTACAGAGCAACGATACAATCAATTTGACGTGTTTGAATTTATATATTTCATGGAGATAAGGAACAGTATTCAAGCTTAAAGTCCATTAAACAATACAAATTTTAGAGCAGATCAAACACGGACCTCTAAAACATCAGAGGTGGCATCAGGTGCCATGGAGGAGTGATCATCCCATGACGACCGGTCACACCCGCCGTGTACTCCTTACCATGATCGGGAAATAACGGAAAAGTCCTTTGATAATTCAGTGTGTAAATAATGGCCTAAAAATTAGTATGTAAAACATCATTGAGCATTTGACTTAATGATAGATTGTATTTGCTGACTTTAAACGAGACTGCTGATATTCTTGTTTCATCAACTTGTTCCTCAATAACATACTTCATTTTAGGAATTCGTCATACGTAGAGCATGCTCTTGCGTATCAAATCAACTGAACGATAACCCCCCTACGCAGGCCATAAGATATATTACTGCATAAGTAAGGGAAGTTGACAATTGAAAAGTTAAAGTTATCACGTTTATCATAAGGCTTTGTTGTTAGATTACATGTACCATTAACGTTTATTTCTTGTAAAATATCCAAATATAAAACAGATGTGTCAGACTCTGTTTTATCCTTTATTTCAAGCTCACCGGGATATATCATATCGACATAAGAATGGAAATAACCACTGTTAATTGACAATACGTCGTCGAAATATATAAATGTTGAGTTGAGGGCAACAGCAAGTGTTTTTCTTTTCACGTATAAGATTTTGAACAAATTCTGCTTATATGAAAACAAAAATAGGTCTGCTACTAATTGGGCGCAATTGGTACCCATGGGAATTCCAATAGATTTTTTAAAAACCTGGTCTCCAAAAACCACATAGACGTTGTCAAACAGAAACTCATGCATCTTTATATTATCAACTTCAGAGTACTTTTGTGTACAATCAGAATATATATTATGAATGCAACATTGAATCAACGTTGTTAATTATTTTCCTCATCACAATATTTAGTACATGTACTTTGCAATCATATAATTTTATTTCAAAAAAAGATTGATTATTTTTTGGTAATAAATAGGAGATATTCGATGTTTCGTATTTGGATATGGAATTTATTTCACGAGCGTGACAGGATTTTTTTTGATATTTTCACGAGCGCGAAGCACGAGTGAAAACATCAAAATACAACGCACACTTCTAGGCATAAATTATGCTTGAAATACACCTTAATTAATGCATGCCATTGTAAACTTTAGATATTAAACTTTCATTCTATATCTAAAAAGGATCAAACATGTCGACTGTTTTTACTGTTGTCAAAGTGAACCAAGTGAATTCCCTACATGCACTACATTTTAGCCTGTTGATCTTCACCTTTTAATTGTGGCTTCCATAGAATAAAGAGCCCCAAAAGTTATTTATTCTACCACATTGATAATAACGAAAAAATCACATAGTGTACATGAAATTTCATGCTAAATTGGTAAATGAAGTGTTTCCTTCTTTGAATTAACACACACACACACACACACACACAAACACACACACACATTCGTGACAATTGTCAATTCTCGCGGCGCTGTCCTACACTACACGGTCATTGAGAATGGAAGTGAGATACAGTTATTTGGACATTTTTTTTATTAGAGGATCGTTACCAATACACGTTGTAATGAAATTAATTTTATTTATAAAGCACATTTTACAACAACTCTTAAACTAATATAACTGCCCTAAGTGAAGAAATATTAATATAGAAAGCACAGAGAAATTCACTTTTATAAGGATACCCACTTCCACCCCAGCCCGGGGTTGAACTCTCGACCTGCGGAAGTGGGAAGTTTTGACTTGCCTAGATAGCCGAGCGGTCTAGCGCGCTGTTCTTGTACTGCTAGGAGACAGATTCCGCAGATCGAGAGTTCAACCCCGGACTGGGGCGGAAGTTGGTATCCTTATAAAAGTGAATTTCTCTGTGCTTATATATATATATATATATATATATATATATATATATATATATATATATATATATATATATATATATATATATATATATATATATATATATATATATATATATATATATATATAAACCAAACAGAAAAATTCTTTTTTGTCTACATACCTGTATAATATCAAAAAAAAATTACACTCTACTACAGACCGGCCATGATATAGATAGTTATATTATTTTTTAAATGCCCCCTCGTACTGCATGTTCGAATTTTACCAATAAACTCTCCTTCATTTAAACGCTTTAAACTTTGTATCATTTGATTTTTATATGTGAATGTAATGATTTTGGTTTTAAAGTGTTAATTTCCATTGTAGGATTTGCTAAATACTGCTCTACTTACCAATAGAACAGATTATGTAGACGCTCTTCTGGACTTGAACTTTCAAATGTCATTAGATCAAATTGGCGAGCTGTACAAGGTTTGTTATTATTTTATATATATGAGGGTTTGCTAACAATTGTTCCAGTAGCATATCTAATTTTGTTTGTCAAGATTTTATTTTTTATTGCGTAATTATGCTTTCACAAGATCAGCAAAAGTGAAGCACCAAATTCTTACCATGATATTACTTACTTGTTTTTTGATTTTGTCTGTTTGTTTGTTTGTTTGTTTGTTTGGGGTTTTTTTTTTTTTTTTTTTTTGTTTTTTTTGTTTTTTTTTTTTTTTTTTTTTTTTTTTTTTTTTTTTTGGTTTTTTTTTTTGGTTTTTTTTTTCTTACTTTATTTTCAATGTGAAATACTGTATTTTATCGATTGAATAAAATTGATCCTTCAAAGGGATATTTTTTTCAGTCCAAAATATCAAATATTATATTTTGACTGTGAAAACATATTTGAAAAATGCAGCAGATATCTCGATGTTATAAAATACTTCCTGTCTTACAATAGCTAGATATAAATATCCATCATAACTGCAATTGTTTCTCAAAATTTTTCTTTAAATTCCTTTTACAATTTTCAATTTCACAATACCTTAGTTAAAGGTCTTAACTGCTCAACTATGACATCACCACCCTCTGCACTTTCTAAAGCAAAGGAAAATAAAATTTAGAGAAAACGTAATGAAAAGAAAATTTATTTTTTGCATTTAGAATTCACTTATGAGACAGGTCTTTCTCTTTAAATAAAAAATTCCTTCGTGCTCTGCAACCAAAAACATGAAAAAAAAAATTATATCCCACTTGTGAAATAAAATTGCAAAGAAATTGCTAAATTGGATCATCATAGTATTTAATTTTTGAAATCCAATTATATTTTCGGTTTTAGTCGAAAGTAACAGCAGCATTCAAATATGATTTAATGTAAACTTTTCTTTTTTCACATTTGTAAGTACTTCAAAATTTTGTCATAAAAAAGCATTTCTTTATTGCAGCTTGCATTGCCTGCAATTTGTACAGAAAAGAGTGACTCGTCAGGAATGCGCTGGATTTTGATGGTAAAAAATTGTTATAGTTTTGAGCATACGTACTTACAAGTAAGATCAATAAGATTTAACTAGATGATGCGTAAAAAAAATTATGGAGTCTGTTTTTATCTCCCCTGTGGATATTTTTCTTGGTCTGTGCCATTAATATATGAATATATGGAAGTAACGAACAGTAATTAAGCTCAAAAAATCAATTGAAACTACAAAAATCGGGAGCAAAACAAACACGGACTAAAACATCAGAGGTGGGATCAGATGACATGGAGGAGTTGGCATCCCCTGTCCAGCGGTCACACCAGCCTTGTCATGATCAAGAAAAAACGGAAGAATCTGTCTACAATTCAGATTGTAAATGATCATCTTCGCTATCCAAGGGTTTCTGATCCGCTACTCTCCTCACAAACCCTTGGCATACGATGCTATTAAAAATTTGTTTTTTTTTTCTCGAGTTGTGATTGGAGTTGATCGACATCGTTCGACCAATCAGCAATATTTGCTTTAGTAAATGATGATATTTGCCTTCGGGATATATCTTAATTCTTTAGTCTCAGGAATAAAAACACAAGTAAACAACGATCCGTAAGATAACATGTCACTCTATAAATAGATATGGCGTCATCCAATCTTTATCTGATGTACAGATATTGTGATCAGGAATCTTATTGTAGATGTAGATTTGCACGATAAATAACAAATAAAAACATTGCTCGATATCTTCTTGTTAATTATTCTTTAAAAATAAAGTTTTCAAATACGCCTTTTATTTTTGTCGATGACGCAGTTTGTGCGTATGTTGGAAGATTCGAGATTTACATATCGTAAACAATCCCTTTTGACTTTTGACTGCACCTTATGCCAAGGGTTTCTGAGGAGATAGCGGGTCAGAAACCTTTGGCTAGCGAAGATGGTAAATGATGGCCTAACAATAAGTATGAAAAACGTCAGTCAGCATTCGACTTAATGATAGATTGTATTTGCTGAAAAGGTCATTGTATCGACCATGGAACTTGCAAAATGATGACTTAAATTAAAACTGATGATATTTTGTTTCATTAACTTGTTTGTCAATAGCTTGCCTCGTTTTAGAAATTGTTCGTACGTGGAACATGCTCCTTCGTATCGAATCAACTGGGAGATATAAACCCCATATGCAGATATCTAAAACAAGAATTATAAAAATGGATTCCAGTTGAGTAGTAGTAGTGCAAGAAATAATCTTAAAAATATTTTATTTAACTCATAAGGTTACTTACTTTTCTAAAAAAAAAAAAATATCCCTTTAGATAACATGAATTTATGTTACAACCCTGTCATCAGTGTCAGCGTTATATATTAAAGATTTAGGGTCAGATGCATCTGTTAAATCACTGAAAGCCATGCTCTGACTAGACCTAAGGGACAGTTTTCGATTTAACGCCATTTATATATGTTCGAAATAAATGCTGCATTTCTCGATCGCAGACAAGTTTTTTCTCCGAAGTCCCTACCGCTCAATGGTTGACAAGTACCAATAGATTGTTCTCTAGACATATGTTTCTCATCCGGCTACTTCTTTTTTAGAATTCTATTTACGTGTATTGGGGATTTATCTATTTGCATAGTACAGGTTAATCATATTAATACATTTTAATGACTACATGTCTTTTGATGATGTAATTAAATCATTGATAAAAAAAAATTATGACGTTATACCGGTAGTATATTGTGTTTATATTATAGTATAAATTCCTGGAAAACATGCAAAAATACAGTCCTTGTTTTCTAAATATTTTATTATTATGTAGAGATATGGAAATCCAAAGTTAGGATATTAGTTTAGTTTTACTCGGCACTAAAGTCTGTTGTATTTATATTGAATATTCTATACTTATATTACGTGATCATATTACCGTGAAAAAATAAATTACTGAGTTCCGTATGTTCCTCAATATTTACACCTACAGAAAGGCAATATGCAGAGTTTGTTCATTCAAGGATGTTTAATCGCCACAGTAAATGCGTCACGGTACTCGCTCCTTGATTGGAAGGTCCAAATACCGGCTGCGACTGACCTAAGTCGATAAAATTAGGTAGCAACGGTCCCTTGACCAAGCACTCAGCACTTTGAAGTGAAAGTTGCGGGTCGTTTGAATGAAACACGATAATGAACCCTTACTGCTCAATGTCTGTGAGTGCCGAATGAAGGTATCAATTTGAAGCCCTTTACCGGTATATGGTAACGTCTCCATTTGAGTGAAAAATATTCTAATGAGACGTTAAACAACATACAATCAATCATAAATCCTTTCGCCCATTAACTAGTCTTTTTTTCTGTTTCTCTGACATAACATAACAAGCATACACTGAATTTGCTTGGTTAAGTTGTCTTTTTTCATGGATATTTCATGCAGCATTCGTTTATTTTTAGAATTATATAACGTCAAAGGTCAGTTTGTGTTGTTTAAATATCCTGCAGTAATGATATGAAATAGTTTTTAGAAGTTCAAAATACTCTCCAATCTCTTGTTTAACATGTTTCTTTTGAAAATAAATTAAAAATATAACTCTGAGAAAGAAAATAGTAACTAGCTTCACAGATTTAAAATATGGAATATAACCGTTTTAGTAGACATATTTGTTGTATTCATATGGAGCAGAATATATTTAAAAGCTTCTGCATGAAAAGAAGAAGTCTCTTGCTGTAACCTTCAATTCGAGACATTTGGATATATTGACGTTTTATTTATTTCCAATATTTATTTTCATTCCTACGTCGATTGTACATATCCCTATGAACTCTAGATTTAAAAAAAAACACTACAGAGTCTGACACATCTGTTTTATGTTTGGATATTTTACTAGAAATAGACACCAATGACAAACTAAAAACCTTCTGATAAGCGTGATGACTTCATATTTTTATATTGTCATTTTCCCTTATCTATGTAGCAATATATATCCCATTATTACCTGTAAATAAAGTTTATTGCTCCCAAGGATGCTTACTTCTCCATTGCACCTGATCCCACCTCTGAGCTTGGGACCCGTTTTAATAAAAAAATTACCAAAATTTAATTCAGCTAATAACTTTCTTATTTACATTAAAGGTGCTTAGACACAGATTTGAAGTTAATATTTTCTCAAATTTTCTGTATAACATCACGACTTATATATTGCAATAGCATTTCACACGAAAATATAATTAAAAACTTATTTTATCTGGAAATTATTGGTACTACGAATTTCTGGACGCGTTTAATTTACACATCCTTGCACTTTCACAAATTTTATCTTTATCCCTAACATTTAAGAAAAGAAGCGATTTTGTTGTGTATTAATGAAAAACATTACATCTATAAGCCATAAAATTCAGAGTAGAAATGTGCGAAAGCAAGCCCCCTCACTAATATCGTCAGCCCGTGCTCAGTGTTGTGTACAGAGTTTAACAAATTGAATACACCCGTGAAACGTAAACTGTTTTTGTAAACAGGGCACGAGCTCTGTTATTGTTAATGTTTACGATTCACCGGGTGCGTTCAAGTGTTAAAGTCTGCACACACCACTGAGCACGGACTGACAATACTGTGAGTGGGTTTTGCTTTCGAACATTTCTACTCTGAACTTTCTGGATTATAGTTTTAATATTTTTCATTAATACACAACAAAATCGCCACTTTTCTTAAGCATTGAGAATAAAATTAAAATTTGTGAAAATGCAAGGATGTGTCAATCAAACGCGTTCAGAAATTTGAAGTTTCAATAACTACGAGATGAAATAAGATTTTTATTATATTTTAGTATGAAATGCTATAGCAACATGTAAGTCATGAAATTTTACAGAAAATTTGAGAAAATATAAACTTCAAATCTGTGTCCAAGCACCTTTAAATAGAAAAAGGTTTTAATACTTTAAAAGGTATGTAGAAAGATACTTTGACCCTAGTAATTTAAAACCGAATAAGTAAATATAATTTTGCAATTTTTTTTCAATTAATTAAGATTTTAAGTCTTATTCGAAAGTTTTTGTAAAACGCATCCTTGATTATTATACACTATCTTCATATTGATTTTATGATCTTTATTATGAAACTAAATACATACTAAATGCATTCATCTTTAATCTTTATATTATAAGTTACAATGAATTTTGTGAATATAACACTTTTGTAAATAATCAGAGTGCAAGTTGATGCTCATTTTAATAACATGATATATATTTTTCCTTTAGGAAATGGGTGGGAAGGAAAAGCTGGCAAAGCATCTGTTTGAAGGTGAAAAAGACTGTCACAAAATTGCAGAGAAGATGTGTAAACGTCTTCTTAATTATATAAGTGAGTTTGTACGATATGTTTATATAATGCAGATTAATAACATTATATATATATATATATATATATATATATATATATATATATATATATATATATATATATATATATATATATATATATATATATATATATATATATATATATATATATAAATATATATATATATATATATAAACTGAATATCTATGAAAATATTATCCCTACTCGTAAATATTTTGCAATTTTGCATGATAATAATGAATGCTTAAACCTTTAACATAATTTCAAAATACAATCAACCAACCAGCCCCCCCACCCCCACCCCCCGCCTAAGTATCAGCCACTCTGGTTAATTTTTTAGAAAATGAATTTTTGATCGTTTAAAATGGTGTCATTTCTCTATAGGAATAAAGGGGGAAGCATTTTTTTAAAACAATATTCTGAAGAAAACAGTTCCAATTTACTCAGGAGAGATTTATGGCTATGTGGCCTGTCATTTATCCTGATGTTCTGATAAATAAATCACACCAGTTTCTCATTTTCTTTCTAAAATACAGAAACTGATGACCACAGATTATCTTTGAACTGTAAGACCACAAGAAGGAAGAAATACGTAAATCGACAATATTTCCTACAGGCGGTCCTTCTGTGGTCATTACTTACCCACAGGACGGACATAGCTACTCTGATCTGGAGAAGGGTGAACAATCAACTCTGTGCGTTTGTTCTTCCAATTTAGTTTGCCATTTTAAAATGTTTTCTTTTTAGATTTATTAGATATCAATTCAAATTTTCAAAGTTATATAGGGAATACACTTGTAAATTGATATTTACAGATCTGTCTTATTATAATTACCGTCTAAAAAACTTTCATTATTTGAAAAAAAAATATTATTTTTATTTTATTACCATATTTCAAATTTCTTTCACAGAATAAGTTTCTAAATTGACAAATATTAAAACCTCCCACTTAATTCTGTATGTGCATATAGATACAGGACTTGTGAGTGCATTGATTCTCGAAAAGATGTCCACCATAGCCAGACTGAAAGATGAGAAGCTAGCAATGAAGCTACAGGAACAGTCAAAGTAAGGGGAAGTTATATATGTCTTGCACAGATTATCATTTATATTTGCAAGCATTCGATTTGTTAGTACAGTTGTAAAAAAAATAAGCCTTCTTTAAGCTTCAGGTATATAATGCAATAAAATTGAAAGATATTTATTTATGGTCATGTTATTTTCATAATTTCAAAGGTTTTTACATTGATAAAGAAGTTTGTTTCTGCCAGAATAGATTTAACTCAGGGTAAAATACAAAATGATGGATCAGAATTAGAAAGACAAAAATACATATTTTCTGTTGGTTTTATTTGTTTTCAAAGAAAAACAACTGTCGCCCGCGTGGGGCAGTGGTGAGAGCGTTCGCTCTAGAGTCGCGGAGTAAGGAGTTGATCCTTTCTTTGGGGGTTCGAATCCCACTGTGGGACATGGAGACCGGTCCTTTGGATGAGACGTATAAACCGAGGTCCCGTGTCGCAGCTTGGTTAAGGACGCCCATGAAATATACACCTTAATATATTCAGGGAAAATGAATACAATTTTAACATTTTTTAAAGGCATTAGTTTTGATAAATGTGATTTGTGTTTTTTGCACTTGTATATATCGGGTCTCTGCTGAGTTCGGCCAAAGCGACATCGCTTACATCAGCTGTTTGTCACGTGCCAGTTTTAAAATTAGAACATATATGTACTACTACAAAGATCGTGAAAGTTCAACGATATACGGGCATTTTTACGCTTTAAAATTTATTCTGTTTTTTTTTTTTTTTTTTTTTTTTTTTTTTTTTTTTTTTTTTTTTTTTGGACACAAATTCCTTAACACGAAAAGTGCTGGAAGCAACTTTCTCATGCTCGGGAATTGTTTAAAATTTAGCCGTCTTTCTATAAACTCCAGTCAAAAATGTAATTCGCATTGGAATAATGTTACATTACGGAATAAATCAAAAATGCACAACCAGCTCCCAGCACTTTTCAGAATAGTAGGAATAATAGCTACACGTATTTAAAAATTCAGAATTTATAGTGAAGCGGATATCGTTGAATTTTTGATATTTTCGAGGGGCTGGACCTGTCATTCTAGCACGTTACTTTAAAAATGTGCTCCCTACGGCTTTATATGAAGTCTTCACATTATCAATTTAGTTTGACAATAAAATGTGGATAAATATATTTTAGAATATTTCTCTCTTTTGGTCCTACTACGCGTGTTTCGCTTTTTTTTTATTTTTACAAGCTACGATAAAAGCTTGAGTAAAAAGCTAATTATTGATGTTGACATCTTTGAAAACAACAGGAATATTTGGACATATTATGACGTTACTTGTTTTTTTGAAAATGACTTCATAATCCCATATTTCTATCATACTCGGAAGTAACATTTTTTTTACCATATGAGAACATCGAAGCATGACTATAAAGGGCTTCGTGAAGATTTTTTCTGTAAATCATTCCACCGTTCATACTTTGGTTGCTAAACGATCGGGTACAATATTATAGATATTCATGAGGAATTTTTATTCGTATTGCATAGCTAGACGTAAGGCCTATTATATCGCTTTTCATTGTATAAATCAAAACATACCTTGTATGAAACAGACGAATGAAACTTAAGTAACACATATATGTATCTTACTTGTTGTTATAGAATGTATCAAAAGTCTTCTAGAAGACTTGTTTCATGTATTTTTACACATCATTTCAATTTGGGGCATCAAAAAAACTGTTTTGCTTTTGATTTTCGACACAAAACAATAATCTGAGATAATTATCAGGTATGTTTATTTTTTTCCCATAACTTAAAATTTGCAAAAAATAATTGAGTTATGGTGAGCTTGC